TCCCTCAGGAAATGACTTTACTCTTCCAGGGTAAGCTTGAAATAACACTTAGTGTTCCTGCTAAATCCTCCAGCAGCCCTGGTGCTATGCAGTTCTTTCAAAGAACAGCTCTTGTGATTAACACAAAAGTTTCTAAAGTTGCATGTAAAAAAGCCTTTGTGTACCAAGCAAGGCATAGCTCACAACTGGTCATTTGCCCAGTTTTTGCCCCGATTCTTCCTGGTCTTAGTTTAGTGCCTCTCCTCCTTTAGTCTTCCATGGGGTGGCAGTTATAGCCAACTACTACCCTTCTACCTGTGTCTAAATTCCAGTATTGTTAACACTGAGCAACTCCTAACATTCCTCTTCACTAGGTCACCCTCCAAGGTTGCCCAGTAATTCGAATCCCAGTGTTAGCCTTACAGAGTTCAAAGCTGCTCATTAAAATTATGCATGCTGAACTATAATAATGACTTCTGGACTAAAATTATAATTTAATATTTTTTCAAAGTAATTTAGAGTGAAAAATTTCAGAATTTTCTGTTATTTTGTATAATTGAGAAAAACAGTTAAGTTTTTCAAATTAACACATAATAGTTGCATTACAGCAAAGATATTTATCTTCTTTATTCACTTATTCACTCATTCCTTCAAAAATACTTGAGTGCCAGGCACTCTGCTGGACCCTGAGAATATAGTGAACAAAAGAAACATGATCACAACATAATAACAATTTCTATACTGTATCACTTCTCTCAAGAATAGTCTGGCATAGGTTAAACATTTTATTTAAGAAACCAAATTGGAGGGGGGAGAAACACATGGGAAGTAAATAGGCCATGACTAAGTATCAAAGTCGTTCTATGTTTTATGACCATGTAACAATTATTATAAGTAACACTGGACACTAAAATATTTGCTGTTCACTTAAAAAGTGCTAGTATTTTAAAATTTCACTACACAGATGTATACCACAAAAAAGTACTAATTGCTTGAACAGAACTATTTATCAAGAATAAGAGTAATAAAATTTTGTAAAATGTTCATGCCAAGAATGAAAAAAAAAAAAAACAGCACAACGACCTCACAACTAAGACATACTATAAATACGTTATCAAAAGATAATTTTTACTCTTCCTAGCACATAAAAGATAATTTGTTTTCAAACTTAATTGATAGTTTCTGTATTAGAACAAACATACAAATATATCAGTAATATTTTTACCAAAATAGAGCCCAATATATGTACAGAAAATATTTAAGAAAATAAGTTTGTCCTTAGCTTTAACATGGATGTGTACATACAAATATACATATGTACACTCACAGGAGTAACATATACTGACAAAAAATTACACTTAGCAAAGGTCCAAAATTAAACAAAAAAATCCTGCTAGGACTTTTTTTCTGTCTTTGAGGTTTAACAAAGAATGTAGAAAATTATTGAAGTAACAAAAAATGACACAGAAAACTACACTTCAAACAGACAAACTGCTTGTCAGTATCAGGATCTGATTTCACATACAGGCTTAATACACTTCCTCAAAAGTCAGGCCATCAAGGTGAAGGATGAACATCTTCCCCTACTGAATGAGGCTGGCTGTCATTATTCTGAGAAGTAGGGTTCTCCTCCACATGGATTACTTTATCTGAGGTTCCTGCAGGAGAAACTTCGTTATTTGTCTCCTCTTCACTAGGTGATAAGTTTTCACGCAGTTCACTTGACATTAGAACTTGCAAAGGTTCTGTTCCATTTTCAACATCCACTTGAATCCCCAAAACTTTAAGAATATCACATTTGCAAATGGGGCATGTCCCATGGGATAAAATCCAGGGGTCAATGCAATTCTTGTGGAAAAAATGTTTACAAGTCAGAATACGAACTATGTCATTAGGCTTATAGTGTTCAAAGCAAATTACACAGCTATCTCCATTTGGATTTATTTCCTCATCCCCCTCTTTTACCACTCGAAGTTGGAGTTGTCCAAATGCATTCTGAAGATCAGTTGTTAATCGCTGCCATCTACGGTTCTGAATCCTCGCTAAACAAAGTCTATGAATGTGATAAAAGATGAAATATGCTAAGGTAGCAGTTGTGACAATCACAAAACAGACCAAATAGTGATTCATCCAGATGATGTGCTTTCTCCCCACCTCAACCATGGCTGTAATGAGAACTCCCTTCTTAATTAAATGGAAAATTTCCGTGCCTTTTAAGTTACCAATCATAACCACAACGACATCTTCAAATGCCTGATGAAACATGGGGAACACCTGGTTGCCAGTTCCAGGAAAGTTATAGATGATCACTCCACTGGCTCCCTTCTCAGCTGCCACTTTAATTTTCTGTGTGAAGGTACAACCTCCCCGTTCAATAAGTGCAAGCCAGGTCTCTGAGTACTTTGATCGGCTGAAAATGGTATTGGGATTACATGCATTTTGGATTTTTCCCTCCGGTGGCACTATAACTCCTGCCACTCTCTTCAAAGTGGAGCTTCTTCCAAAGACTCCAGTCTCTCCCAACTCTGACAACACATGATTCCCAACATGAAATGATATGTTCATATAAGCCGTCCAAACAACACTTGCTCTGCAACAGTTCTGACTAACAAGCCAAAGAACACTGAACATGATAAGCCAGGAAAAGTCAGTGTTGTTTCTACAAGTGCCAACCTTGAGTAGATGCATCTTTCCCTTCTCCGAGTGACTTAAGAACCAACCCAACAGTTCCACATCTGTTGACAATTAATTTAAAACAACAAAGAGAAAAAAAACTTCAGTATACAAACAAGATCCACTATCTTCCAGCATGTTTTTGTAAGAAATTCTTAAAGATGGCTTACGAGTTTCAGAGGTCTTATTAGAGAGGAGAAAAACTTTAGATTGAAAAATAAATCCCCTCCTTTTAACTCTAGATACTGCTTACTGTTGTTTGATGTGATTATGACATGCAAGATCCAGCAGCCAATTAGATAAGAGTTTAGAGCACACTGTGAATTTATTGGCTTAAATGCTGTTATGGGTGATTTCTATGTTGTTATAAGATGGATATAATCACTGAGCTACGTATAATCATAGTAGGTAGCACATTAAACTAAAAATTAAGTCTAAAATTCATACAATGTATGCTCTTTAAAGCCTGAAAGCACATGTAAGAATGCTATATAATTTTTTTCCCAGCAAAGGAAGGAGATATTTCCAACAAAACAGCAAGCTACCAAAAAAAAAAAAAAAAAAAAAGGATAATTGAAAATTAGTTCTGTGACCAGATGTGAGGCAAAAGTGGTGATATCAGTGACATTATTTTTACATCAAAAAGTAAAAGTCACACTGCTAATGTTTGATTCATCACATAAACCCTTATATTGCATTTATTTAAGCTTTCTGAGACATTTGTGGCTTTTGTTTTATGGTTTTGCTGTTTTAGAGTAAGAGATCCTGCTCAGTTTACTCCTGCCTCACTTTCTCTGTCTTACATTGACTGTACAAATGTAGTAAGTCTGACAGGAGTAAAGAAAGGACTGACATCTAGGGAAGCTAATTTCTCTGCAGGCCTTGACATCTGTTATTAATCAAATAATAGTTTGAAAGGGGAGGAGAAAGGGTGTCAAGGAAAAGATTAAATAAAGTCATATTGGTTTGGCACAATTCATTTTTTAAAAAACAGCTATTAAGAAAAACTTCAAAGGTGCATATTTAAAGTTAACCATTAGCAGCAATAAGTAGATGCTTTTATCAAACATTTTTGCAGAACTCAACAAATACCCCTACTAGAAGATTCCACAGGCTCTGTCCACTCTACCTATGTTTTGGCCACAATCATGTCAGTGGCACAATATGACCTCAAAGCTAATGGATGTCATGTGGACTCACAAGCATAGTGAGTTCACAAGCAGCCACGCTGCTACTGGTACACATTATTGGGGGTGAATCTCAGTGGGTTTTTTTCCCACCAGCTAGGAAACCGAGGCTAAAGATTCTGACCTTGAACTTAAATGTCTCTGGTCTACATGTGTAGAGTGCTAGAAGTCACTTTTGGTTGGATCTCACCAGGACCAAAGGAGCTGTTACTTCTTACGAAATGTGAATCTACAACATGGTAATTTGAGACAAGGAAGAGGAAGGAACAACAAAAACTAGTATAAAAAGAATACTGATGATATAAAACATACCCATAAAGGTTGATTTTCTCTCCCAAAGGCCATTAATCCGATTTTATTTCCATACGTCCCTGCACTTTTTAAAAGGTATTACATGGTGTGTATATTCACAAAGTGACATTGAGTTAGGCATCAAAGGTTTAGCATATCATTCAGAAACAGAAATTTTCATCAATACAATACCTAAATCTTTCTGTCTCTCATTGTTGTATAGGTGTTTATTCATCTACTAGGAAAAAAAGGAAGATGCAAAATAAGGCAAAGAATATAACATGGAAAGGCAATTGAACAAAATTTTAGCTCTGCTCTATGTTATCAAAGTGCCCCAGAGAAACATTCATTACCATTTGGAGAGGAAAAGAGAAGCATTTACTAAGGACACTTCTAGAAAAGAAATCTGCTACCATAGCTGAGTCATTTATGCTAGGATTTAAAGAGCTCTGGCAAACAAAGGTGAATGTTTGCAATGTTATCCTAAATGAAGCCTATAATACTTTAGAACACTTCTCCTTACATAACTAAAGTGCTATCATCTAAAATAATTATTTAGAACACATTACCAATCTAGTGAATAGCTTTGGAAACTAGATTTCCTGGGCATTAATAAAATTAATTAACCATGCAGAATCAGAGATATAAATTATTAGATACCAAAATTAGTCAAAATGCGGAAACAAAGTACAAGAATTAGTATTAAAAAAGGAAACTTTAAAATAGCACGAATAATTCTCTATGGCAATGTCACAATCCTAGCAATATGAAGAAAAAAAATTGTTTTTAACATATACTAACATTCTTATTTGGATAAGGGCAAAAAGGTATAAGAATTAAAACTGATTAGAAAGACAAGAAGTTCAAATAGCTGGGCATGATATGGAGTTTTATTTTTAAAACACAAATTTCACCCTTGTTCGTACCTGGATAGAGAAGCTGAAATTTTCTCTCTACATAAAGTACGATAAGAGAATTTATCTAATCTTTGTATTTGGAAAGATCTGGTTACATCTTCAGAAAATTCTCCAGATTTCTTAAGTTTTCAGAATGTCACACTTGCACATGGGACATGTCCTATGGGCTAAAAGCCAGGGGTCAATGCATGCCTTATGGAAAAAATGTTTGCAAGTTAAAATGCGTACTACATCTTGGGGTTTGTATGTGTCAAAGCAAACAACACAGTTGTCTTCATTTGGGTCTAATTCCTCATCCCCTTCTTTGAGAATTCGCAGTTGAAGCTGGTCAATAGCTTTCTTCACATCTGCCTTTATATGACTTCGCCTCCTGGTGGAAGAATTGGGTACTCTAGGTCTCCAGACACAGTGTAAGTAAAGGTAGGCAATTGTGGCAGCCAGGAAGGTAAATAGAGACATGATGTAATGGCTCACCCATGGCATGTGCATTCTCCCCACTTCAATGATGACTGTCACATAGACTCCTTTCTGAATCAAGTGCAAAAGTTCCATGCCTTTCAGGTTGCCTATCATCACCGCAACTATATTTTCCGTACCCTGGTGAGACATGGGAAATACTTTATTGCCTGTACCTTGATAGTTGTAGATGATCACCCCATTTGCTCCCTTCTCTGCTGCCACGTTGATTTTATGTGTAAAAGTACAGCCTCCACGTTCGATGAGGGCCAGCCAAGAGTCTGCCTGTTCAGGCCTGCTGAAATTGGTCAAAGGATTACAAGCATTCTGATTCCATCCTTCAGGAAGTGCTACCACACCAGACACCCTTTCCAGAGGAGAATGATTCCCGAACACTCCACTCTCTCCTAACTCTGATATGATCTTATTTCCAACTTGAAATGTTATATTCAGGTGAGCTGTCCAAATGGCTTTTCCATTTGAGTCAGGAAGGCTGAGTAGTAGAAAGATACTAAGCCTCAAAAGTCCAGATGAAAGAGAACTATGAGTCGAAGGAGTAATTCTAAGGAAGCTCATGCCTCCATTTGTCTATTTAAGAGGCAAACTTGAGAAAACAAAACAACATCAGTCGTAAAAGGACATAAAGAAGACAGCTTGTTGGCAGTAGATTACTAAAGCACATAAATGGAAAAGGTCTCCCTGGATCAAAGATATCTTGCTCCTTCCAGCATTTTTATATTTGGTAGATTATCTTTCTCATAATGAAACAAAATAAAAAGAGTTGTGATTGGTATCATGTGATTTCAAGAAAATTATGACATTCTAATGGGGAAATTGTGACATCAGAGGTAGTTAAACCAATCCAAGAGTTTATATTAGTGCATTGCATCCTGAAATCCTATTGGCCAAAAAGCTAAGCAATGAGTCAAGATATGTAACAATTTGAACAAGCTGCAAAGCAATAAATAAATTGGTAATAATTTTTTAAAGTCTTGGGTTTCCTTCTTAGTTCTGGATAGAATGAAAATCTACCCAGCCATGTAAGATTTTTTTTTCTAGATGTAAGGCAATGGCAAAGATAAAAATAATTCATGTATTAGTACATGTACCTGGGCCAGTTGCCAGTTTTCATGCATGGTTCAACACTACCCAATATGGCATTATGTGGGATGGTTCAACACTACCCAATATGGCATTCTGTGGGAAGTAGGAGCAAACCATTCCCACCAACTTCCCACATTAAATGCCTATCCCACACTTAAAGATCCAACACAAAGAAAACAGTGTAAACTCATATTGTTAGCCTAATACAGTCCCATCTTCTGGTAAGAACCTACTATGTGCTAGGCAAATACTGAGAGTGGACATACACTGGAGAAGAAAATAGAAATAGCCCTACTCTTGTAGAGACTAAGGATTTTGGATGATGTCCCAAGGACAAGAGAAACACACTGTAGGGTTCTAAGCCAGGGAGGTGACAAATGTGTTTCAGAATGTTCACTTTGGTTACTTTATTGGGAAAATGTATTGGAGAGGGAGAATAACATGAGAATGAGCTTAGGCAAAAGAAGACAGTGGCTTGGACTCGAAGTAGCAGCATAGATGTAGAGACACAGACAAAGGCTGAATAACAGATTTAGTAACTGGAAGGATAGTAGTGGGAAGAGGAAAGGATGGCCACAATGATAACAAATCACTACATTATTTTGCAAACTACAGAATCTTTACTGCTTTAAAGACGCATTATTGTTTACTTTTGCCTTAAATCTTTATTCAAAGTCTGTTTCAAGGAGCCAATAAATTGGCAACACCCACTCAAATATTTATTTTATACCATGTATAGGATATCTTCTATGTGCTCAGCATGCCACAAAGTCCTAGGGATAGAAAAAGAAAAGACCCTATTTCCTAGTGTGTAAAATGGACATGAACATTTAATCATAGACATGATAGAGTTTTCTCATTTGGACAAAAGCATTTATTGTATTCCCTAGCCTGTTGTATTTAATATTTGCTTTAAAAAAATAAAAAATTAGGAAACAGTCTACTTGTCCCATTCATACAATTCTATTAAAGCATGATTCAGTTCACATCTGAAGAATCTGAAGAGTCCTTATAGGCAGACTTTTTTTCATGTTCAAATGGAGTGAATTCCTGCCTGATTCTATTAACAGTGACAAATTGAAGCCTCATTAACATGAGGCGACAGTTTAACATCATCATATTATAGGTAATTTGTTAAATATGTGATTATTTAACCTTTGGAAGTAGGATTACAAAATAATGTAATTCTGACTTTTTATTTTGCAGATTTTTTGTGGGTGAAGAGTTTAACCTGTAACTATATTTTGCTTCAAAACATATCTCACATCAAAAGGTTCTCTGTATGGTTGAAAGGACCAATTTGAGGAAGTTAGCTAATTCATTCTATTTTTCTCATTATAATATAAAATGCTTAAGGCAATGATAGAACTGCCCTCTCTTCTGCCCTCGTCTTAGAACAAAATAGACCTATAAGAAACAATCATCTATCTCTTAAAAAGTGGTTTTCAAGTTGGGGGCAATTTTGCCTCCCAGGGGACATCTGGCTGTTTCTGGAGACATTTTTTGATTGTGACAATTAGAGAGCATTACTAGCATCTAGTGAGTATACACCAGCGTTGCCACTAAAACATCTGAAAATGCAGACAGTAGCTCCACACAATACGAAATTATGTGGTCCAAAATGTCAATAGTAAGGTTAAGAAACCCTGATCTAATGAAACAGCCTGAAGGGAGAAGCATCCCAAAACTCTCCCATCCCTGATAGGTGGTCAGACATAAATTCTCGACACAGAATAAGCTTTTATAATTGACAATGCCTCCATCAAGGATGATGCCCTCAATGCAACTTAATTTCTCCAGTTTTCCCTGGAATAGAAACAGCAGAGATCTGTACAAGTTACCTATTAGTCCATTAAGTATCATGACAAATTGCATATATTTTATCAGAATGAGCTCTAAGAGTCTTCCTGGAGCAGCATGTGAATGGAGGGGCGGGGGGAGAGAGACAGAGAGAGAGAGAGAGAGAGAGAGAGAGAGAGAGAGAGAGAGATGATTGAGGCAACTGTAATCTGTTCCTTTTAGATCATTTATTCAATACACGGACATTCTTTATAACAACCAAATATTGAAGAGTTTTTCATTCTGTTGAATTTTGCAGTTAGGTTAAAGAGAACTGAAATATAATACTAGGGATAATATATATTATATATAATAACTTATATATTATATATAATATATGTAATATATTATATAATATATGTAATATATTATATATGTAATATATTATATAATATGTAATTTATATATTATTTATATTATATATTATAATTATTATAATTTATATATTATATATATTCAAGGATATATATATTCAAGGAATATATCTATGTTTATATATTCCTTTTACACGCAGGCTAAAGGGAACTGAAACATATTACTAGGGTTGGTTCAACTGGTTCAAAAAGCCATTCTACTTATCTCTTGTTAACAGTGAATATATATATACACACACACACACTTAAGAGATAGGTTGTGTGTGTGTGTGTGTATAGTTACATGCTCTTAACAAGAGATAGGTAGAACATATATATATAATATATATGAGCAAGGAATATATATATATAAAAAAACATATATGTGTGTGTGTGTATATATATGTACACACACACACATACACACACACACACATTTTTTTTCCCCAGAAACTTACCAGACTTCCCTCAATGTCCCTTTGGCTAGAATTGCTTCAAAAACCCATGCCTAATGAAATCCTTGGAAACTGGAGTGGAATCATCATGATTATCTTAGGTTAATCACTATTTATCCTGTTGTGGAGAGCTCATTCCCTGGGTGAGCACATGGCCAGAAGAAGGGTGAAGATTTGAATGCTGTGTTACCAAGGGGAAAGACATGAACCAGAAGGTAAGCAGGCAGGCACAATGGCAGTTACAGGCTCTAAATTCCTGAAGTACCCCCAAAGGAATAATACTTAACCATTAACCACAACAAACATGTAATATGCACTGTACACAAGGCACTGACATGAGCCAGAGTCTATGTTAATGGGGACACAACATGGCTCTGACCTTAAGGAGGGCATCATCTAGGCAGAAGAAAAGAGTAATATGCAAGTTGGATGTATATATGTAGGTATCCTATAACTACCAGGCTCCAATTAAATTTTTGAGAAGGTTATAACTATTATTGAGATAAAAAAATCAACTACCTGACCTCTACCCCTCTGCTATTCTTTGATCTCTATGGGTAAGAGTGCTCACATTTCCAGAAATCTCTACTCCAATAAAGCAAAACAGATAAATGCAATCACATTGCACTGCTCAGATAGCATCTTTAAGATGAAATGAAAACCAATAAACTACCTCATAAGTGTCAGTACCCAGGGCTATGATATCATGAGAGATCTCTAGGAATTCACAAAACAAATATTTATTTTGCATTTAGGCTCAAACATTACAACTATGTATGTTTTTTTGCAAGAAATTAAATGAATCATAATGAGATCTGAGGAAGACAGAATACTGACTCTAAAGTACTTCGCTGAGAGCAGCACAAAAGCAAAGAGTGCTAATGATAATATTTTTCTGAAAGTGGAATCTTTACTTTTACAATTTTTAATGTTTTCCAATATATATGTATATAAAAAATCCGCAAGCATCCCCTCTAATTACAGCTAATATATCAGTGGTTAAAAAAAAAATTCATAGTTTCATGTAACAAAACTAGTTTATATAAAGGCATTTCTGGACTGTAGCAACTATAATTCTAATTTCTGTACTTTTAAAGTAAATTTTGTTGTGTATATTTAATGTGTACAACATGACACTATAAGATACACATATATAGTAAAATGGTTGCTATAATGGAACAAATGAACATATCTGTCATCTCATCTCATATAGTTATCCATTTGTCTTCCTGTTGCAAGTGCTGCTATAATCTACCCATTTAGAAAAAATCCTGATGTAATTCCCTCTACAAAATTAACTATTCTATTAATCTCCTTGAAGGACAGTATTAAATCTTATTCTCATCTTTTTAATACACAGCTTCTAGGACAGTATTTACCACATCATAGGTTCTCAATAAAAGTTGAATTAAATTGATAGTGTCATTATCCTCTGTATTCTATCTGGTAATATTCCTTATGCAAAATTGTATCTACCGAGTTTTATCTTCAGAAGGGTGATCATTTCAGTAACAGTACAGAATAGTTAGAATATGCATAATGAGTTCAACTTGTAACTATTCTATATAAGTACAAACAGAATATGTGTGTGTATATATATATGTGTGTGTGCGTATATATTTCCACACATATTGTATTGGGTGTATATATATATATATCTTCCTTGCTCTTAGCAATCATAAAACTTGATTCCTTAGCCATACCTTAATACAAAGACAAATGAGCATTTGGAATATGATCAAATCCATTTAAACTGTAGTGGGCATAAATAAACATAAATTAAACTCTCTTTTTCATTCATAATTCAAGTCATGGTCTACATAACTTTAACAATAAACTGAAAACAATTTTTTCCCCATTCAGTCTACCAATTTAGAAGATAGAATGGTAATCAACAGAGTAGGAACTCATTATTACTACTCTGGGAAGTACTGGGGGAAAAATTCACATTGTAGTCTTTGCACTAGGAGGGAGAAGGAGGAGATAAATAGTCTTAAGTAAACACAAGATTAAGACAATATTTGGCAGTAGTGTAATTATTATCTTTGAGCTTGGAACAAAATATATCTTCATATTAACGATTTAGACCATATTTTTGTTTGAGGCAGTGGTGAATAGGCAATATACTGAAAAGAGGAAAAATAAACCCAAGCAGATTCCTTTACATCACCACCAGCAATTGTCCTGTTCTCTTAACAGGCTACTCTGCCCCTCTCATTATTAAGGTCCAACGATGAGGACCAAAATGGTTTGGAGGCTGCTTTTGGGACTCCATCATTTCAAGATTGTCCTAAAGCTTAAAACAGACTCTAAATCTTCCTAAGCCACAGTCATTGAAGGTTTACATATGCTTTGCCTTCCTAATACAAGTCCTATGATGGTTAACTCTGAGTGAGTTCCCAGGAGTCAGAAATAACAGGGCAGAGGTGATTAAGGAGATTTTCCCCTTATGTTTTTCCAATTCACAGATCACAAAATCCTTTCTTATTTCTTATATAATTTAATTCCTCCTGTGAAGGAGCAGAGAAAAACAACGACGACAACATGAGTATAGAGTCATCACACTAGCAGAAACAGTGAACAGTGTATTAAAGCACCAGGCCATGTGACAGATGTGTCTGAAATCCAGTTTCAGCTACATGCTAGCCATTTAAGCTGAGACACATTGAGCCTCAGCTTTCTCATCTGTAGTCTGGAAAAGTAAAGTTGGCCATGGTGAGTGTTGGATGACATATTTCACATCTGTTTGTAAATCGTCAAGCACACTGCTAGCTTAGCTTGGGAGGTATTCAATAAGTGGGCCTTCCTTCCTATTCTCAATCCTGAAAAACCTTTTTCTTCCCTTTTCCACCTAATAACATTCCCATCATCTTTACAAACCCATCTCAATCTCCCATTTGTGATCTTCCTAGCCAAAACCACCTGTTCCTATGACATATTATTTTTGTACCTATTTGTCAGTCATTTAATTTTGCCTTATATTATATATAATTAGATGCATATGTGTCTGTGTATACTTTCACTTGGTTTAGAGTATCTTGTGAGCAGTGGTCTTATCTGCTTCATTTTTTAAAAATCCTGTTTTATCCCTCCTGTCCCTACACTAGCACAATAAAACTTGTTCAAGGTCCCTGACAAAATGTTTGACTTTTCAAGTACTTTCTCTTCAAAATATTAAGACATATCTGCAGCTTTTACAATCTATGCTTTATACAACTACTCATTTTTTTAAAAAAAGAGAACAGGCAATGATTTGACAAGTCTTCCCTCAGTTAAGAATTACATTGACAACAGTTGTCCAGAAAAAGGCTTATTTAATATCACAGGATCAGAGGCCATCTGTCTTACATTTTCTCTCCAAAAGTCAAGAATAAATTTCATCCACATCTCTGTATCTGAAAAATGGACTAAATATGGAATAATACACAGTCATAAAGTAATAACCATTTCTAACATATAAGCAGCAGCCTTTACAGGGATAAAAATTCTGCTTTAATTATTTTTATGTAAATGAATATATAGTTATATCTCTCAAGATATTTAAATATAGATATATATCTATATATCAAGTCATGAGCCCCAAATAGTCATTATCAGGAGAAAACTATACCAATTATGTATACCTTGGTACCTCAGAGAAAACTCTAACATTACATCAGGAGTAATACTTAAATAAAAAATTTCTAATTGCAACCAACTTTTTCTCCAATCCATAATGTCTTCTATTTCTACCCCAAGTGATAGTTGAATCCTGCAGTCCCCACAAAGCTTCCCTGATTAATTCAGTCCAATGTGAGTTCTTTCTCCTATGAACTGTCACAATATATGTTTTACACTTTTTTTTTTTTGAGACAGAGTCTCTCTCTGTCACCCAGGATGGAGTGCAGTGGCACTATCCTGGCTCACTGCAACCTCTTCCTCCAGGGCTCAAGCGATTCTCCTGCCTCAGTCCCCTGAATAGCTGGGATTACAGGCACATGCCACCACATTCTGCTAACTTTTGTATTTTTAGTAGAGACGGGGATTCACCATGTTGGTCAGGCTGGTCTCGAACTCCTGATCTTGTGATCCACCTGCCTTGGCCTCCCAAAGTGCTGGGATTATAGGCGTGAGCCACCACGCCCAGCCATGTTTTTTCGTTTTTGTATTTTAACATATTTTGCAGTTAAAACAGTACATACAGCATACATGTGCATTTTTAAAGTAAAAAAACTACTCCTGTATCTTTTAAGCAATAAGTACTATTTTCTTCATTCCCTACATCCTTTCTTAGGAAATTATTTCTATACTACCTTGTGATATTTTTCTTCTAGTGTTGAAAACAACATTA